ACCTGTCCCCCTCAGTCAGGACATTTGTCTCACCTGTCCCCCTCAGTTAGGACATTTGTCTCTCACCTGTCCTCTTCAGTTAGGATATTTGTCTTTCACCTGTCCCCTTCAGTCAGGAATTTGTCTCTCACCTGTCCCCCTCAGTCAGGACATTTGTCTCTCACCTGTCCCCCTCAGTCAGGACATTTGTCTCTCACCTGTCCCCCTCACTTAGGACATTTGTGTCTTGCCTGTCCCCCTCAGTACAGCCAATTTTCTCTCATCTGTCCATGTGTTCTCGTTTGTTCCTAGTTTGTATATTTTGAACTCAATAATTTTTATTTTTATTTAAAAATTGTTCAAGAGTCTGCATCCTTGGGTCCAATCTAACACAAACAAACAAACAAACAAACAATCTGCTGTTCTACATCCTGAATTGAAGCACTGTGAATGGCTGTCTCTACTGCTGGACTCTGGAGCGTGGGAACTCAGACTTTCTGTGCTGACTTCCTGTTTGGAGCAGGAAGTGAGGACCAGGTGTTCTCGTTTAGTTACCTGACAGTGCTCGTCTCTGATTGGCTCTTCCAGGAGCTGACAGCGGACCCTCAGTTCATTGTGGGTGGAGCCACCAGGACTGACATCTGTCAAGGAGCACTGGGTGAGTCTTTCAGCAGAGGTCAAAGGTCATGCGACCTGTTCCTCAAGGTTCCACGGGTTCTCTATGTTCAGCTAACAATTTCTGATGTTTGCTCAAGAACTGTCCATAGGTTTAGAGTCCAGAACACCAAAATGTTCTATCTGGACCTGCAGGAGCCTCTGAGCTGGTACCAGATCCACTGAAGGATAGACTTTAGTGGAGCTGTTTCTACGGTTAGCGGCTGACAGTGGCCATCAACTGATGACCCGACTAAGGTTAAGATCTGCTCACGAGGTTCTGTTCTGGTATGAGGTATTAGCAGCAAAACAGAGTAGGTCTTACCAGACATAGAAAAATTAATAATTAATACATTAATTATTAAGAACAGGACATACAGTATAACATTAATAAGAACAGGAGCCACTTAAATCCATTTCAGCTCAGTTAAGTGTATTTTTGTAGCTCCAACTCCCAACAGAAGTCGTCTCAGGGCACTGAACAAAAACATTTACATACATTATAAAAGCCAATTACCCAATTAGATTTTTGTTGTTTTTTTCCCTCTGTGCTGAAGACAGACGTGTCCTCCTGTGCTCCGTCCCCCCGCTTCCCTGCTTTGCTCTCTTTCATTTTGTGAACCCTCTTTTTTTTCCTGCATACCTTTCTAATTCCAAGGATTTGATCAGCTGGTTTCTCAACAAAATTGATCAACTTCTCCTGACAGGAGTCCGGAGTAAGGAGGACCCTCTTACCTTGACAAAAACAAATTGGATTCATGATGACAACTGGATTCTGCTGTTTGGGGTTGGTGAAATCTGGATTGTCTACAATTTTGTGTGGAATGTGTCGAAGCTTGGCAGCACTCAGACTGAATTATGTGGAGCTGCGTCAGAGTTGCAGCAGGCTATTATCAGGACTGTGAACTTTCTGGCAGCTACCATGAATGGTTGGGAATAATCTTGGAGAAGCTGTAAGCTCGACTTTCGGCGTAAGGAATCAATTCGGCTGTTTGGAGTCACCATCAGAGAACTGTACCAGCGAGACTTTAAAAGGCAGAAACGGCAATTCACGAGTTCTGCCTGACCCAAACTGTGGCTTTGATGGCGGACTTATCTCAATACCTCCTGGCATGTTTAGAAAAAATCAAAGATGCTTTGTCTTTCTCCTCACCCCTCCCTTCCCCAAGGCCGGGGACATGTGATGGACCTCAACCGAGCTGATGATAAATAAAACCTCTTATCTGGACAATGGCTGAGAGGGGGAGGGGCTCTGGACTATGCTATGACCTTCCCTTAAAATTCAATGTCTTCACCGGCCTATATGTACATGTATCACATCTATTTATGTGCTATGATATGGTAGGTTATTTTGATGCCTCAAATCATGCCCTGTCTAGGACAAGGTGTGCGAGATCTTTTTTTATACCGTCTCTCCTCATACTTTTTTCTCTTTTCTCATCTGAGCAAAAATATTATTCTGAAGAAGAATAAGAAGTCCGCGCTAATTAGCAGCAGCTTTGTGCACTACGTCCATCTTTCGGACGAATGTACGTACATGTTCTCGTTGTATCTCGGTGCAATGATAATGTAGCTTATTCTGATTCTGAAAAGTTCTCTATCAAAGGAAGCAGCAGATTGTGTTGAATCTTCACTTCGTCACAGTCTCCCATCCTGAACATGCACAAAGGAAATAGTTGAGCTCTAAAACCTGACTGAAGCTCCTCAGATTATTTCTTTACAGATGTTCACGCAACTGACTTGCAACTATTTTCTCTAGAATTTTTAAGATGAGTGTTAAATTAGATATAGGTCTATAATTGATTCCAGATTCAAGATCAGGTTTCCTAAGTAAATAATTACAGCAACCTTAAAGCGCTGTGGTACATAACCATTAATTAGAGACAAATTAAGCAGATCCAAAATGTGGACATTAATTAGGGGAAATACCTCTTTAACCAGACTGGTTTGGATGGGATCTAGCAGACGTGTGTATGGTTTGGATGAATCTATTATTTTTGACAATAGCGAGTTCAACAGGACAAAAACAACCCAAGGTCTTCCTGTCCTTTATTCCATACCTTTATTCTGAAAGTCTCTGAGACAGTTAGACAAGAACCGAACCTTTATTCTGAATGTGTGTTTGTCTTTTATTGTGAAAGTTTTATCCATAATTTCTGGATCAGCTGATCTATTTGTGTCATCAAGGAGTTCCCTGACAACAGTTACTAGGAGACCATGTGAGAGAAAACAAAGCCGGAACACACCCATCAGACATAATGTCGCTGCTGGTGTTCCCAGGATGCACTGGGGCAGGACCGACTTGTCCAACATGTGGTTCCTGGAAGAGGAGCGCCACAAACACTAAACTGTTGACATGACTCAGCAGTTTGTCAGGAAGCTGCAGGTGTTTGTGTGTTTGTCCTGTGTGAGGGACGAGCCCGTGTCCACAGAACCGTCTGGTTCTGTTAAAGCTTTTCACTCGTGCTCCTGACGTGTTGATCTCATTAATGTAGCGGAAGATTGGAGAACCTTCCAGAACTGTGGTTCCGTCACTTCTAGAACCTTTTCTTTCGTTTTACAAAAGAAAATCATCTCCATTATGGGTTCACTAAACAAACAAACAAACGTCCACATCAAAAAAACATAAACAGGAAGCAGGACTGAGGGGGCGGAGCCTAACGTTCCCCAGCATGCCTGGAGGCATCAGGTTCCTTGCGGGGACTGAGTCAGTTTGTTTCTGCAGCTTTGTCTTCACATGCTGGGTGGAGTCTGTCTGCAGGCAAACATCAGAACCACAGACAGCTCACCTGTACTGCTCATTAATATTTGTTGATCATTACTGATCAGTAGAAGGCATTGATCTGGTCTAGTTCCTGCACCTCTGTGATCATCCAGGTTCCTCAAACACAGACAGTTACAAGATTATAACAGAGAAGACTTCTCAGCAGTGTTGCACCAGATGTTTTCTGATCAAGTGTTGAACTTTCAGATCTAAAGTCCAGGAAGAATTTGGAATATCCTGCCCACAACCTCAGATCCTAAATTACGGAGGACCTGGGGAGACCAGTGGTTGGAGATTTTGAAGGACATGAGGAGACCAGTTGTTGGAAGTCTTGGAAGACCTGACCAGTTATCAGAGGTTTGGGAGGATTTGAAAAAAAAAAAAAAAACAGTTGTTGGAGGTTTTGGAGAACCTGAGGAGACCGGTTGTTGGAGGTCTTGGAAGATTTGAGAAGACTAGTTGTTTGGAGGTTTTAGAGGACACGAGGAAACCTGTTGTTGGAGGTTTTGTCCCATTCTAGTCTGATGGAGGACTCTAGCTGTTCATCAGTCCTGAATGAAGCAGATGTTGTAGATCTGGTTTAATCATTAAAACAGGTCCAGTTCTGTTCTGGACCTGGTTTAATTCAGGGAGGTCCAGAACAGAACCAGAACCAGACTTGGTTTAATGCAGCCAGGCCCAGAACAGAACCAGACCTGGTTTTAATGTCATCAGGTCCAGAACAGAACCAGACC